TCAAACGCAAAAAATAGTATCATTCAAATATAAAAAATAGTAATATTCAAAAAAAAAATAGTAACATTGAATATTAATTTTTAGAAAAATAATAGTAGTAATATGGTCAACAAAAATAGTAACATGCTAAAAAATAATAGTACATGAACAGTAACATAATAAAAAACTTAGTAACATGAATTTGAATTTTACTATTCAAATTCATAGTAACTTTTTTTTTTGTATTTAAATGTTAATATTTTTTTATATATATATATATCTATAATATAAAACACAGCGGGCTTCAACAAGTCTATCAGATGACCACAATTCATTTTATCTAACAGTCATAAACATCTCTCAAAACCATTCATTTAAATGATCCAGATTTCATTTACTTGGATCTAACGACTCACAATTCATCGCAACAAAAAAATTATCCCGCCCAAAGCTTAAATCACGTCTCCCAAGTTTGTCAGACGTTACACCAGCCTTTCTCTCTCTTTCTCTCCACACTCTTGCGACTTTTCTCTTTGCCATGGCTCAGCCACCACCGGTGAACACACCAGCGAAGACGAAACACGCAGGTTTTGGACCTTTATCTGACTTCCACGCTCCGACAATCAGTCGAACTCCTTTTTCGCCGAAGCACAACATTGAAGGAGTGAGCGATGAGATGAACACGATCGAGTCTCAGAACTCGGATCACGCCCCTGCTCAAAGACGGGTTCAGCAGCTTGATCATGTATTGTATTTATTATATTAATTTTAGAATCTAATTTCGTTATTTCTTCATGTAATTTGCTTTATATGGATTGATAGGTAGATGCCTCCTACTGGGATCAGAACAGAGGAGGTAAGTGATCTACTGCTATGAAGATTAATATATATACCACTCTACAGGCTAACGTTACCCCTCCCCCATCTCTCTTTCTCTCTCACACAAAACACACACATGCCCTTTCTCCTCTCTCTCCCTTTTTCCTATCTCTCTCCAATCAGAATGCCTGTAGTCACCAGAGGCGACCCAGCGATTGGAGAACACTGAGGTAGTTATATGTTCTCTGTATATCAATTTGAATATAAATTGCATATGTTTATATATGTATATATCTATCTATATGGGAGTCTATATAACAACGATGATGAGCCTTTACAGACCTGTAATGATTTGCGAAAATGATCGCAATTCTTTAAGAACATCTAAGGGACTGAGTTGATTTAGATCTGTTGTTGATACTTGAATGATAATTCAATTTCAGATTATTTTTTTTTGGTATTTAGAATCAAGTTATTTATTCTATTATTTATTTCAGCATGACTTTACTTGATTTTATTTAGAATCGAGTTATCGCACTATCGCCCAAATCCACGTATCCACTCTCTGCCTCCCTCTTTGTCTCTCCCCTCTCTCTATCTTCATCTCTTTCTCCCTCTCTCTGTACACAACACATCACACGCACACAGCACACCCATAGGCATAGCACACTAGACGCATTAAATTTTGGGGTTTGGTATTTGTGGTTCCAATTTGGATTACACATATTGATTGTGTTTATGTTTTCTATTTATCTGCTTGGTTATGGGTTACACAGTGAATGTGCAAGATTGGGTAATGGTTACACATATCTACTTGGTTTTTTTGGTGATGTTCTTGCTAAATTTGCTGATGATTTTTCTTACTACGATGAATGAGTTTTATGGGTAATTTTCATTGTTGAGTAGTTGTTGTGTTGATTTTTCTTGGCATTGAAATTGTCTTCTAGGGTCGATTTCTAGAAGTATTTTGTATGTGTTGTCTGGTGTTAGTGAGCATAGGATGTGTTTGATGAAATGCTCCAATGGTTAACCTCCATTATAGATGCTTTGCCTTTTTTCTTCGTTTCTACTGTGTAAACTTCGTGTTTAAGGAAATGGCCATACAATATGCACTTTAGTTGGTTGCACTAATTCACCTAAAACAATTTTAGGGGGTTTTGCCGTTTTGGGTGAGGGAGCATTTGCCTAGCCCAATTTGGGTTTGGGCTTCAAGTGCTTGATAAAATGCATTGAAACAATTATTTTAATGTATGGAAATAGAGACTGCATCATGAGACAAATTTATGGTCCATCTAAGTTCCTTTTAGGCATTTTAGTATTTTTGTCATAATCTATTCACACGTTATGAATTGTAAATTGCACTATAGCGAAATGAATAGACTTGAAATTCCTATATGATGCATATATTAGTATTTTCCTTACTTTATGCAATTAAAAATCAATTGATAATTTGGGTGTTTTGTAGCTTTTCAATTTCGGGTGGGATTTTTTTTTAAAAAAAATTTCTTGCAATTTAGTAATTAATTTTTTATTTTCCCAATTAGTTGCGGGAAATTTATTTTTATGAAAAGATCCAATTTTAACTTTGACATCGACCATGGAATCAAGAAAAAATCGGTGATGTGCCGCAACCTGTCATTGTTTAGAGCGATGGGTGGTCTCTATTGGTTGCCGAAAAGTATGCATTTAACCTTCTTTATAATTAGGGTTCAATGAGTAATTAGTTTTATAGGTATTATTTTGTTAATTTTTTTTGATTAGTTGAATATGGGTTGTGGTTTGATTACATCTTTCAAGTTTCAATTGCTTCTTAAGATAGTGAAATGGTCGGAGTTGGGTTTGTTGGGTTTGTTGAATTTGAATAATTTGTTTACTTGAAATTTAATGATTGGCTTAATGTTAATTAATGGATGGATGGTTGTTTCATGCTAAAGCTAATTGTAATGGATTGATTATGGAATTGGCGCAAATAACTCCGCTGACAAGTTGTTTGAACAAAATTTAGTGGAAGATTGAAAGATGATGTTTCATGATCTTTGCTGCCATCATAGTTTTTAATGATTCATTATGCAAGTGGAAGATTGAAAGGTAATGTTATGAGATTATGGGGGCCTCAATTGTGCTTTGTTTTTGCATCAAGAAAGGACTGGAAGATGGTGAACGATTGGCTACACAGTGGTGCTATAGGTAAGGATCCATGGAAGCCTTTTTCTCATTTAGGTGATATTGATTTTAATAATTGACAATTATTGTATGTATTGATGCATGTTTTTATCAATTTCGTTTCATAAAAGAAGGATGGAAATGTGATGAATGAATACAAGCTTTAAGATGGACCTATATAATCTTGAGTGACAACCAATTTTTTTTTTATTTGTTTCTTAACACAAATGATTCTGTTTGTAGTATTAATTGCCTATGGAATTTGTTTAATAATATATGTGCACTGGAATTTGATTTCTTTTTTCCTTTTCTTTTTGTCTGGTTTGTCTCCAGTGGATGTGACTAATTCATTGTATTTCATTTCTTCATGTAGATTTAGTCACACAAAGTTGTAGTTGCTTTGATTGCTTGATCACTTAATGGTTGGACTGTAATTTCTTTTCATAACTAAGGAATCTTATATGGTCAATTAGGGAGTCGTATTTTTGGAGATGTCTTTTTTGAAATTATTTGAAAATTAGTAATCCCAGATTGATTTAAACTTATCTACAATTTGACCAAAACTCGAATGGAGTTAACTTATTTTAATGCACCCTTATTATTTTTCTTTGGTGATATTTTTGCATTGCATGGTGCCTTTAGGCATAGGTATTAGCTTGACAAATTGTTATGTTGTGTTTGTTGGTAAATTATTATTTAGAGGAAGGATTGTGACATGAATAGTTAATATTATGATGCTGATTTGAGTATAATTATAAGATATATAACCTTTGTATACAGGTTTAGATTTTTTGGGCTACTATTTTTTGATGAAATTCTGTCAATTTTTTTTAAAAAAATAGAGAAGACTAGATTGATGCATGTCTATGTTCAGTGTTTAATTGTTTCGTGTTCAAGAATAATGTTTTTTTTTTAATTACACAAATTCTACAGGCACGGATTATGAGGGTAGTTTAGATTTTCAGCTTAGTACGCGTCCTAGTTCAGTGCTTGATTGTTTTTGAATCACACTGTGCCTTCAGGCACAGACTATCCCTAGTATATATATATGAGAGAGAAAAAATTCACTTCTTTTTAATGAAGGGTATTTTTGAGATAAAAAAAAATGGACTTAAGTTATTACATATAATTTTAAATATAAACTTCGCTCTTTATAAGTTTTCTTACAGGACTTATCTCCAAACAAGTACATTTAGGGGGACTCATTTCTAATTTTCACTTTTCTTTTATTTTTCCATACAGTTGGGCTGGCCCGGGCTACTATAGAAGCCGTGATGTCTTCTATGAAGGCAGCGATTTCCAAGGAGAACGTCTTCTCTTGTGCATAGCAGAAAGAGTGATTCGTTGTCGCTTTAGATTTCGATTTTGGCTCGATGAAATTGTCAAGAAAGAGTCAAGAGACAAGCTTCGCGAACTACAGCGGCTTCGGTGTAAAGGCTGGCTCGACACTGCACATTTGGTTGATTGTCTGGACATAACATGTACACATATAATTAAATTAATTTATGGTGCTTAGCTCTTTTTTTTTTTACGCCACTCATGGTATTAACAGACTTTTATTATAGAATAACAAAAGAGCAATGCTACTTTAAAAAAACAAGAGCAATAAAAGAGCATTTTCTATTCCCATGGCATCATTGGTACATAAGTCTCTACTGTGTGATTAACTTACAAAGTTGCAAGAGCGGGCCAGTGACACATTAAGTAATTATTGCACATTAAAAAAAATTCAAAAAATCCTTTAAATCTTGGTGGCACCTTTTACAGCCTAGAGCTTTTGGCTTTTGGCTTATTACCTATTGTCTTCGTAAAGAATCTTTTCTTCGTTAGAGCCACCAATATTTACTCCGCATGTGTGTCTCTTTTTTTGGGGGTGGGTTGAAAGAGAGATTCACACTCCTTGTTAGTGAACTTTATGCTAAGCATTAAACAGAACTTGTTATTTCATATTGTTCTTTAGTCTCTATCTTTGGGCAAATTCAAAAACATTAAGGCAAACATGTGAACAAGCTTTTTAGAGAGAGAGAGAGTTCTCTTCTTCAAACTAGAACTGCCTTGAGTCCCTTCTGAGAGCATCTACACCTCAGAATGACATAAGAAATGAACCTGTAAACCAAAATAAAACAGACCATGACGACCACATTCCTCCATCTACTTTCCTCTCCATACCCTACTTCTTTAAGTACATCTTCACCCCTCACCACACATGCTCCCAACATGTACTCCAAGCACTTCCCAGAACCAGAAAACTCATTAATCAAAAACCCTTCAAATGGATACTTAAACAAAGAAATGTAGTGCATGAAAACCCAATAACTTGGCATCCCATGCTTGGATATGAAGTAGCCGGAGAACAGAAAGAATGAACCCATCACGCCGGAGATCACCGAGTTTCCGACGATGAAATTAGGCACTAAAGCACTGATACACACCACCACCGAGTTTGCTGTGTAGAGAATTAACCAAATTAACAGCAAGAAGTGAAGGAAAGCCGAAAAAGTCCGATTTAGTCCCACCAGCCAATACAATGGCACTGTGAATAACACTGCAAGGATGAGTAGAAATGGCAAGTAAACAAGACCATTGGCTATGGCATATGATGAAACCCTATAGCTTCCACAAGAGGTCTCTTTCATTAGTATTTCTCTCTCCTGCAGGAATATTGGTAGAGCCTCCAATGTGCTTGATAGCAAAAAAGTCAAAATGAATGCAAATAGGCCTACCCTCTCTCCCGCACCAACTAAATCATCTTTCAGATGGTAAAAGATTGAGCCTAAAACAAGCCCGGCCATGAACATTTGAAGTGTCCTACATGCAAATAGCTCCTTTGTTCGATATATGTTTTTCCAGAACCTAAGAGTGAGAATCATTGTTTCCCTCACCCTAGAATTTGCAAACCCACTTGAAAAATCAAGTTCAACATCAATAGACTCCTCATCAATCACCTTAGACTGTTGAAAAAGTTGTTGTAAAGTGAAATTACCATTTCTATTCTCACCTTCATCACCCACCCTTTTAAGTTCTGTTGTTGATGGCAATTGTGGCACCATCTTTTGGTGAATTTGCTTTGATAATTGGTGCTGCTGAATTGTTTCGATTGATTCAATTGCGAATTCAACAAGAT